TAATTCATTAAAATTTCACCTTCAGTTAATTGACCTTGGCATTTCTCAAATTGGTGCCTCACTTAAAGTTCTACATCAAAGTTATATTTTCTTCCAAGGCTTGTGCCTTGCTTTTTGCGAGTCTTGTCCTATGTTCATGTTATGTAGGAAGTGTTATTTATTGAGGTCAATAGATAATTAAAAGCTTGGTTAACTTTGAAAATGCTTTTGTGATTTCAATGCTTGGTTATATGGTTTGAAGATGGCTATCTCTAATCCTATGCCCTTACCTTGACACATAATAGTTACATCATGAGCACGTGTTCATCTGTGTATTACTGTCTTTGTATGCCCTTGAAGAGTTGTATTTTGAAAATTACAATGGATATTGTTTCATCAAAGAGAGATCCCATCTGAGAAGGTTCGTACAAGATCGGTGGAGTAAGTAGAAAGGGTGGTTACACCCTTACCACCATGAACGACAAAGAGGTCGAAAAGTAGTGGAATGCCTACAATATGAGAAAGTACCATGCATGACCACCCGCTGCATCCTGAGCACTACTCAGGCCAAATAAAGCTTAAAGACTCAAGTAGCTCAACAAGCACTACCTCGCAAGTCAAGGATTATCCAGTTGTTATGCAGTTTCTACCTTATAGCAAAGTTCATTCGTTTCACTCGTCTTTGAATGAGGAATTCAGAAGATATTCACAACTTAGCTTGATTACATGCCTACAACAGCTAATCACTCCTACACTTTAATGAAGATTGCGCCCAACACGAGACTTATCGTAGGAATTGCACCCCCCTCCCCAGGGACCAACCATGCTCTCCCCCGAGGATAGGGTAAACTAACACTCCAAATGTCCAGACATGGATGGGTTGGGCTGCCCTAGTGTAATTGATCGCATGATGGCATGTGCCGGCATTCCTAGAATTAGCCACAATGATCCTTTTCAAGACATAGCTTACTAAAAGATTTTGGCATTTGGCCTAGTTCGTGGGCATCCAAACCTTAGAGACAAAGGAGGCACACAACGCACTTCATTCGTTAGGCACCTTTCCATGAAGATGGACCACATTTGAGCATTTTAGATGTGACTAGACTAGCATCAATGACTGAGCATCCTGTATGTGACTAACTAACGGCTAACCAACTAGCAGCAAGCTTCACAAGCTCATAACTTGCAGCCTCTTTCTTTCCTTTGGAAGAAGTTAAGTTAATAACGAGCTTCCCAACAGTGGATGGACCCTCGAGCAGTGGAGGAAGTCTTTAACAAAATCCACTGACGGCTATCGAGCAGGTGATAAATATCTATTTTTTCCACCTCTAATATCAACAGGCTTTACAACAATAATCGGCTGAGCTAATGCCTCAGCCTTAATCTGCTTGATATCTTTCTTTGGGGGCAGGCCACCCTTCTCCCGGTGAAGAGGACTACACAGCCAGCGCTACTCACGATATTCAATAGGGATACCTAAGGTGTTGTGCACCTTCTTTATGTCTGGAGAAGTCTTGGGAGTTGAGCCAAATTCCAAATCTACATAAACACAAGAGGATAAATTAGAAAGCAGCTCAACAAAAAACATAAAGCAGCTTAGAAACTAAGCAACCCACTTACCATCGATCAAAGCAGTCGTATCGCGCAACCTAGGCATGAGTTAGATTCCCACTCTTTGCTAATTTCTAGGGTCTCTCTGGCCCAATCATAATCCCCTTTGCTCGAATGATTAAAGAGCCTATGGCGGGTCCTCAGCTGCCTGACACCATTGATGTGGCCTATGTCAAAGAAGTACCAAAACTTGCTCGTAGTCAAGTCCAAGTCAAAGAACCTACTCAAGTTATGGAACCTCAGCATCATGTAAACCGCATTTGGAAAACTGAGCAGGAGCACACTGCATGGAGCAGTTCATCTCCTAGAAGAATAGAGGCATAGGAAAGGTGAACCCCAACAGGAAGTAGTAAGGGTGAAATTTGATAGCTTTTTTGGACCTATACGACCCACATCTGCTACCTTCCTTGGTTCGCTTCATGCGAACCCCTGATGAAATTGTGTGGTTGAACATCTCAAGGAAGCTTTTGAACTGCTCATCGAAACCTATCTTGACATGAGCAGCCTAGAAGTGGCCTAACTTACATGCAAATCCACCCTGGTGATACAACGGTGAGATAAATTCATCATTCATATGGCTTGAGAAAGACATGTTAAAAAAAAATCCTACAACGACGCAAGGAACAATTGTTAGATTTTGGTGGTGATTAAAATTTCTTTCCTAGAAGAATTTAAATTTCAATTCAAAGTGAGAATCTACATCAAATTGGGAAACAACTTCAGGCTTACTAAAGCAGCTTGGGTTTTCTACACTTACTGCCCTTTCTTGTGCAAGAAGACTAATAGGTGTGGGGACATTTGCGGAGCAAAAAATAATCTCAAAAATTCCTGGAGGCGAAATATGGACTTTCAGCTGAAAAAGACAAAACTACCCATATTAAATGAGCAAGCATCCCGCGCGCAGCTCAGCATCCTAGGAAATGCAGGCTGCAAACTACAACAATACAGAGCTCCACTGCCCGTGAAAAAAGTCAAAGGTATTTAATAATAGGATTATCCCTAAATCCTATTATTAATACACTCCCAATTGAAGGCAAACCCTATCAAGTAAGTAATCCCAATTGTATTTAATTAAGGATAATTACCTTTATTTCGATGATATTATTTACACAATATCTTGGGAATATTTTGTAAACACGAAAAATTCCTAAAATAAGAAACAAGAATACGTGCACAAAAATATGTGTAATATAGGTGAAATGAATGTGTGATGTAAGTGAAATGAATAAATATTGTAATTTTTATACATTGGTTAACATTTATTTCACTGAAATTTCGGTGTCTACAAATGCCCCCACTTCAAGGCGCATTGTATACACATGCTTGTCACGTGTAGAAGATGCGTTTTGAAGTCCCATAATGTAGATGTCAACCCAAGGGCCGTCGAGGCTTGATCTTGAATTGGGCTGGAAATTTCTTTAAGGGCTGTCGGGGCTTGAACTTGAATTCGACTGGAAGATTTTCTGGTTTCCTCCAATCGTTGATTTTCCACAGGCTTAATCTTGAACTGGGCTGGAGGGTTTTTTTTTTTTGTCTCCTCCGAAGGTCTGAACTTACTCTTCTTATCTGGAGTTGAATTTGATTCAAGGGTGGTGAATACTTGATTTTGAATCGGACTTGTGATTTCTTCAAGGGCCGTCGGGGCTTGAACTTGAATTCGATTGGAAGATTTTCTGGTTTCCTCCAATCGTTGATTTTCCACAGGCTTATAACAATTCCAAAGGAATTAACGGGAATAAAAGAAGTACGATGAAAGAAGGAGGTGCATGGGCGAGCGAGGGAGATGAGGTCAAGAGGGTGGAATGGGAGGGGGAGAAGGGCTGGGAGAAGGTGGGAGAGGGGCTGTCGCCGATCCCAAGCCAGAGTCAGTGGAGAAGGAAAGAGATAAACCAAGAAATTATTTTTAGAAGTTAATAAAGAGAATAAACACTTTCGATTATGAGGTTGCAAAGTAAATTAATAACGCGTTACTACATACCAAATTACACATTAGATAAATTTTGTGGATATCCCCAAATAGATGCTGATCTCCGTAAATGGTATGGTCCGCGTATGAAACGCAAATAAAAAAAAAAGGGTTTTTGAACTTTAATCCTTCAAGAAGATTAAAATTTAATAAAAATTTGGTGTGAGATTGAATATTGATTTTAGTCCCTTAATGTGTACTTAATTCAAAGTCATATTATATTTTTGTTTTTATATTTAATAGATAACTTAGTTAATGTTATCATATTAAATTTTAAATTTATTATTATACACTTTTTAATTCATTAATTTTATTTAACTTTCTCTATTAGTGTACCTAAACGTCCGTATCATAATATATTTTACTAAATTAGTGTACCAAAATGCCAGTACCTAAATATATTGTAGTGAATTAGTGACACATAAGAAAATATGTAAAAACATAAGTGTACCGAAAATTCTGTACCTAACTATATGATACTAAACTAGTGTACCGAAATGTCGGTACCTAAACATATTATACTAACCCAGTGTACCTAAATATTCATACGTAAATATATTGTAATGAATTAGTGGCATATAAGAAAATATGCAAAAACATAAGTGTACCGAAAAATCTTTACGAAAATATTTTCTTAGATAAGATGCTTACCATAATGAGAATTAAAATTTATAATATTTTCATAGAATTTAAATTCATAAAATTATAAATAAAAAAAAAGAGATGAATACATATGGTGGCATTAAATAGAATCATAGGGATTAAAATCAATTTTTAATATTGTATAAGATATTTTTCTAAATTTCATCTTATTTAGGATTAAAATCTAGTTTTCTGTAAAAAGAAATTTCATGTGATCTTTGTGCAGGATTTGTAAGAGGCTCATGTTTCAATAGGGTTAATACTAGAGTTAAGATTTTTCTAGTTTTATACATGGAACGTAGCAACACGTTCGCATTCCGTTATTGAGTTGGCACCATAAAAGTGCCACGTGAGCCAGTCATGTCCATTACAAAGGTCCTTTCCTTTTCTCAAGTTATGACCTTTTTTTGTATAGATGCCTTCACCATCTGCTAAAGTGGGCCAACAAGTAAACTTTTGGCTACTGTTCAACAATGGATATTTATGGTGTATGTTCATCTCCTTCTATCACAAAGTAGTTCAGTTGTCAAATCCTTGTGTATGTTGTGTCATTCCAGTGCACAGAAGGTTTGGTGTGTAATTCCAGTTTAATACATACATTATTGAAGATACTCTTGATTTCTGTTGCAACATGTAATATGGTAAAACAACTTTGAGTCGTGGGAGTACTGGAATTACACATATGTAAGTAGGCTCCAAAGGATAATTAAGAAGAGAGATGCCTAAGATTTAGGCACCGAACTTATTACCTGTAGGTGCCTGTCGTTATATATATAAGACCTGCGAGAGTCATAGAAAATCTATGCCGCCATATGACTAACAAGTTCTTGGCTATAGAAAACAAAACGTCCAGTTCTAAGGTAAATTCTGACCCCTTCAACTGTTGAAAAAAGATAATTATATATCGATTCTTTTTTTTTTTTGGTCTGGAAATTGTGTATTGGCACACAAGGATGCTCATTTTCTGTTTCCATCATTTAAATCATATGTAGCCGGTGTCCGCTTACAAGTACTTTTTCTTCGCTATCTACTTTATAAGAAGTGAAGTTGCTCCTTCATGTCTGATAGCATGACTTTTTAACTGGAATCTACTAAATGTTACCCTATAACAATCTTTGCTAAAAGGAAAATGTGCTACCTCTCTTTAATTTATGAGGGTAGAAATGAAAATATTTTTGAATTTTCGTGCAGTGGAAGGAAAAAAAAACGAATATCTGACTTCAAAAACATGAAGAAATCAACAATATATTCAATACTATCAGTGTTGCACATCTTTGCTCTTCATCTTCAATCAGAGGTCAACTCGTTCGCTACTACTCGTGATCATGGTAAATTACTTCATCAATTATTCAAAGAAAAGAAATTGAAAAGGATTATACAAAACTTAATAAGAATCATGCTAAAGCCATATAAATGCTTGCAGCGACAGTCCGATGCCTAAAATTGAATGTCTTAGTCCTATATATTATCCAGTGTTTTAAAAAACTTGCTCCAAGGCGTGCATAGGAGGCTTTGGAGGTAGGGCGGCAGAAAAATCGCCTTAGTTTTGTGGAAGTCGACAAAAACTCGCCCAGGTTTCGTCGAGGCGCAAGGGTGTCTAATTGGGCGTCAAAGTTACTGAAAATTGAAAAAAAAAAAATAGTTGAAAGTGATTTTTTAGTTGCAGAGCAGTTACTCGATTTTTTTCGTTGCAAAGCTCAAAGAAGATGAAGAAGACGAAAAAAAATTTGCCTAATTTTTCATTTTTTTAAAACAAATTTTATCCTTTGTTGATGACTGTCCAACATATTCTCTTTTGTTATGTTTTTGTTTTTAATGTTATTTTATATACTTTTTAACTGGAAATATGAGGAAGACTAAATTTGTAAACTAAATTTTAGAAACTAAAGGACATGGAAATTGATGATTGGTTTATTACTTAAGCTTTAATAAACGTACTCATTTTTATTAGTGACACATCATTTAATTTGCAAATTTTGTCAACAAATTTAGTCTCCCTAGCATTACCCTTTTTAATTTATTTTATAAACCTAAAACAACTCAAAAGACTTTTTTTACTTTTTAATATTATCACAAAAACAAGTTTCATCTTTTTCAAGTGCCCTAAAATATATGCTTCATCATTTTCACATTGTGCAGATTTTCGCTACATGAGATTTGTGTATAACGCCAGTGATCCACGGTTAGAAGCATCGTATGACTATATTGTCATTGGTGGAGGAACAGCAGGTTGCCCACTAGCAGCAACTTTATCAGCAAACTACTCAGTGCTCCTTCTAGAAAGGGGCAGTATTCCTACAGCATATCCGAGCGTCTTGCGTGACGATGGGCTTCTAACTACTCTAATGCGGGAAGATAATGGCAAGACACCAGCTCAAAAGTTCACATCAGAAGATGGTGTTCCTAATGTCAGAGGCAGGGTCTTAGGTGGGTCAAGCATGATTAATGCTGGCTTCTACACCAGAGCTGACAGGGATTTCTTTATGAAATCAGGGATTGAGTGGAACATGGATTCGGTTTATAAGGCATATCGGTGGGTTGAAGAAACTATTGTGTTCCGCCCAACTATGGATCCCTGGCAATCTGCTGTAGCAAAAGCATTGTTGGAGGCTGGTGTTGATCCAGACAATGGACTTAATTTGGATCACATTAAAGGAACTAAAATTGGGGGTTCGACGTTTGACAACAATGGGAGAAGACATGGAGCTGTGGAGCTGCTTAATAAGGGAGATCCGAACAAATTGCGAGTTGCAGTTCATGCCACAGTAGAGAAGATCCTCTTCTCTTCCAAGGCATCAAGTATGGATGATGAACAGTTACGTTTATGTTAAGCACAAAAAAAGAATGTTTATTATTAATTTTAAGCTATCATCTGATGTAGGTTTGTCAGCTATTGGAATCATGTATAGTGATTCGAACGGGAGGTCCCATTGTGCATATGTACGCAGTCAAGGGGAGGTTGTATTGAGTGCCGGTGCAATTGGGAGCCCTCAACTTCTACAACTTAGTGGTATTGGCCCAGAATCTTATCTGTCATCTCTTAAAATCCCAGTTGTTAGTCCCCATCCATACGTTGGGCAGTTTATGTATGACAATCCTCGTAACTTAATTAACATTTTGCCCCCATTTCCACTAGAGCCTTCACCTGTGAAGATTGTAGGTATTACAAGCGATTTCTACATAGAGAGTCTCTCCGGTTCTCCATTTTCTACTCCACCATTTAGTCTTTTTCCTAATCCATTTAATCCCATAAAGGTTGATTCGAGTTTCGGACAAATTGTTATCAAAGTTCCAGGACCCATGTCATATGGTTCTCTTAGGCTGCAATCATCCTCTGACGTGAGAGTCAACCCAAATGTCAAATTTAACTACTATGCACACCCGTTGGACCTTTCTCGTTGTGTTAGTGGCATGAAAAAGATTGGCGAATTGCTAAGGACAAACTCATTGAAACAATTTAAGGCTCAAGATCTGCCGGGTATAGAAGGTTTTAAGTTTTTAGGCCTATCCTTACCAAAGAACCAGACAGATGATGTTTCCTTTCAGACATTTTGCCGAAGTTCAGTGGCAACATTTTGGCATTACCAGGGGGGATCCATTGTTGGAAAGGTTGTCGATAGCGGTTTGCGTGTTTTGGGGATCAATGCATTGCGTGTTGTGGATGCATCCACATTCAATTTCTCACCGGGGGCGAATCCTCAGGCCACCCTTATGATGTTTGGCAGGTATGTTATCATACTCACAAGATATTCGCAATGGTCCCTTGGGTGCTTGACTTGCTTTTATGAATTCTATGCTGTGTTGCTGTTTTTTATTTGCTTCAGTTTTGTGCTTTTAACAGGTATGTTGGCCTTAAGATGCTGCAAGAAAGACCAGCCTGAAAGGAAAATCTATTAAGAAGTCAAGTAGCTTACGGTTTGGCTAGAAAAAGGGTATAGTGGTGCTTTGAAAAAATAAAAAACTACTTATGCTAGAATAAGTAGTTGTGAAATAAAATCCATATGAAATAAGGCAGCGAAGTGCAAAAGTGTTTTTAGGAAGAAAAGAAAAAAAAAAGTGTTATAGTATTTAGTCAACTTTTATATAAAACAACTGTGATTGTATAAAATGACAAATAATAACATAACACTCGGCGTGCTATTAATTAAGTGCTTGGAAAATAGAGGTCAATTATTTATTTTTTTTTTTTTTGAACAAAAATAAAGGTCAATTATTTATTTTTGTTTTTGAACAAAAATAAAGATCAATTATTAAATATACTTTATCTTCCTTAAAATAGGGGCAATTTGATTCCACCGCCTAATATCTCTAATTTTTTTTATTAAACATTCATCACTTTTCATTTTTTATTTTTTTATTTTATTTTATTTTGTCGAAATCACTTTTCAAGTTTTGATTAGACTAGATTTGGTGGCATTTTCATTCTCCAATTATCCTTTCATTCTTTTCTCTAGTATTTTACGTGGATTAGACTACATTTGGTGGCATTTTCATTCTCCAATTATCCTTTCATTCTTTTCTCCTGTATTTTACGTGGATTAAATGTTATCTGTTATAAAGACTAAATATTAGGGATAATCTTACAATTAAAATTTAAAAATTAGATATATATACACAAGAAAAAATGAAAATGTACACGAACCCATGCCAAAAAAGCACAATCAGCATACTAATGAAAAATAATAATCTTTAGAAAACAAAAATCGCAGAAAAATGATAAAAAAATCTTTAGTAAAATTATATATGTCTATCCTTTAAAAATCAAAATGGCTTCATCTAAAATCAAATTACCTAAAGCATATTGGTACGTTTAAATCAGACGCAATATAAAGACACAAATCTTGGTATAGTTGTTTAACAAAGCCTAAAGCGTTTTGGTACGTTTAAAATCAAACGTACCACACATACACTGACGTACAGATAACATTGTTTTTTATTTATTTATTTTTTAATTAAACGTATCTAGGCTTCATAATTCATGCAAGAGTTACAATTTGCTTTATATTAGTCCCTCTTTGACCTAAAACTAGGAATGGATATTAGTACTAAGATATATCAACCATGTCTTTGTAATAATACAGAGAGTTGTAATTGTGAGTTAGAAGTCAACATAGCGCTATCCAGAATCAATATGAGAGATTTCCAACCAAGGCATTTTAGTTATAAGCATAAGGGAAAACATAATGAAGTAGAAGTTATCCCAACTTTGTTAATAGATTTTGGTGATGTTGATATAATTTTTGTTAACCATAGCTCATGACAGTAAGAAATGTTCCCTGCTAAGCTTATGCTAGTAGGAAAAGATAATTTAGCCTCCTGAATAATATAAACACATGCACAAGGAAGAGGTGAGGCATATAGCTATAATAAATGAAGAATCTTTCAAATTATTCTCTGTATCAACCCATAACATACCCCGACCGAGATCAGGGCATGCTAGCCGTCACGTGAAAGTGATGTAACCATGTGCACAGTGCGGAAGCTAACAAATAATAATAAAAGTACGAATAAATAAAAAAAAAACAGTTATACACAACATAAGAACATACATGTGCAAGCGCAAGTGTAAAAACAGAGTTCAGAGCATGAAGACCTAATGCAGTCCCGGAGAAACAACACTACAAAAACACACCCAAAGGTGGTCCTACACTGGTGATAATCTGTCAGATATGCCGGAAAAATCCTCTGGGGAGTCACCACAAGTGCTAGCCAACTAGAACCTGGAGGGGCGCAAAACAGAAAGTGTGAGTGGGCAAAAACAAAGCTTTTCAAAAACCATTTCATAAACAAAGTTCTAACCCCTCGCCGTAAAACCTGTATACTTCCCAGAAAATATCATATGCATATATATAAGTCATGCACAGAACTATGCCATGCCAAATGCCTCAAAATAGAATGCAAGTGCTCAAGAAAAATGTCATCTTAATGCCATGTAATCTGTCAGCCGAAGTCACCTAACGTGACCTGTACGGCTGAACCTAGAGCTCAAATCTCCATCTCACTAACTATACCTGCACACGAGTCGGAACCACCTAAAGTGATCTGTACGACAGGACTGGGTGTATAATAAGTACGCTCGAGTGCTACAATCACGTGAAGGCTGGGCGAATAATCGCCGGTCACCTACGAGTCGGAACCACCTAAAGTGGTCTGTACGACAAGACTGTGCACCTAACTTGGATCCAAGATGAGCGTGTGGTGCGGGAGATGAACATCACGTGAAGGACTGTGCCCAACTCTGGGCGGGAGCACTAACACCGGGGGTGCAAGTTATGAGCTCTCTATACATCTCAAATCACTACTGAACATAGACATAAACCATACTCACCTGGCACTTACTTGTGCGCCCGCAACACCAACATACAGACATATACATACTACTAATAATGCATAAACAAACGGCAAACATAATGCATGGCATGTAAATGTATAAACGTTTCCATTCACTTTTTGGGAAAAACGTAAGTGTATAGATATATACGAAAAACCAAAAGCCCACTCACTGGTATGTAGAAGGGTCGTAACCCCCTTGCCTTGAGTGACCGTGCTCGTCCTCAGGATAGGTCTCACCTATATGCGAAACAACTATAAAAACGTTAATTTTAAAGCACATAACCAACCTTATGAAATAACTTCTCATACAATGCTCAAATGGGGTGTATGAATACACCAACGTGATCTACTCAACCTCAGGAACATCCCCATATTTTTAAAATAATTTTTCGACGCCGCACGTGCCCTCACGCGCCGGCCAAGGTACGGCCACACGCGCCGCCCACGCGCAGGCACGTGCCTGGCACACTAACAGCGTCAGTTAACGCCGTCAGGAATATTCCGTTAACTCTGACGGATTCCGTTAACGACGTTAGGAATATTCCGTCCAAACTGACGAAATATTCCGTCACTTTCTCCGGCCAAACTCCGGCGCCGGAAAATCGGGAAAACTTTAAAACCTTGTATCTTCTTCGTTTTTCAACCAAATTTCAAAAAAATTGGTACCAAAATGAAGCTTACAACAAGAGGAACAAATCCATACCACTATCAAGCACTAAAATCCACGAAATCTCGCCGGGAAAACACCACCAACTCCGGCCAAGCTTGTAACTCACGATCCCGACGTCCAAAACCTTCAAACGAACCACCCCGAGCCTCCTAAGGACCTCACCAAGCTTCCTACAAGCTTGAAATTCCCAAAAACACAAGAATTAACGTGTGCATGAACAGTGACCAAATCGGGGTATCTTGAGTTCGACGTGAAAACGAAGGTATCCTTACCTGAAATGGGTATGGTTGAACTCCCAAGGACCTCACGAGCATGAATATATAATTTGTTCCCTCGATCTGTGCGGTGCACGTGAATGGAAGGTGAGCCCACAGGCCATCATAGGCAAACTGCTACGTTTTGCAAGTATGATATAGACCAACCTCCGCAAGAAGCTAAAAAAGTCCCTTGCCGGAATGCAGGACACCTAAAGGAGACTTTGAAGCGAAGACCCCTTCCTTCCTTGAGTTGGGGAAGGCATGATGGAAGGATTGGGATATCATGGGCCCAAAGGGCACCTTGATATGTGTGTAGACCTGAAGGCCCAAGACCTATAGGGTAGACCTAGCATTCATGTTGTGTTTTTCGTGTTCATGTCATACCCGATATCATAACGGGTCATGTCGTGTAACACCTATTAAAATAAACGGGTAAATGACGCAATCCAAAATCGACCCGATAATATTAACAGGTAATATGACCCGACCCGTTACCCGTTAAGGAAAATATACATTAAACCAATAAATAATCAAATGAAAAATATTAAATAAGTATATACATACCATATTGTCACATTCAAAACATAAAAATGCATTTTTCTTTTAAGTAAATTTTTGCTTATCTAAATTGATCAAATGGTAAAATTGGAAAATATTGGAATAGAGAAGGGGTTTTTCCGTCCAAAAAAGTTATAATAATGAAAGTGAAATAGAATCCAATGGTACAGATTTACTCTCATTTATTTAAGTAAAGTCTTTAATGGTTTTTTAATTAAAGTAGAAGTGTAAAAAATATAGAAAAAAAATATATAAACGCTCGTAATGACAAGCTTTACAACTTTCATGAAGAGCTTAACTTCAAAATTCACCACTATAATCATATAAATCATAGATCAAAATTTAACCGTTGATTGTTGTTTACATTTACTCTTCATTGTTCTCATCCAATTTTGTTTTTTCGGATTTTCTTTTTTGAAAATATGATCTATTAGAGGATGCAGGAAGATGAACAGTTTGGATCCTTGATATTATATTCAGAGTTGTACGGTTAGTGAAAATATTGCTTTTATGAAGTTTCTACAAACTATATGACATCGACTCATATTTCAGTTAACCGTAAATATCGAAACATTATAGCAAAGATCTAAATCATTCATCTTCTTACATCCGCCAGATGATCATGTTTTCAAAAAAGAAAATTTTTAAAATGAAATTCAATAAGAAGAATAAAGATAAATGATAATCGACGATTAGATATAAATTTAGGGTTTATGGATTATAGTGTTGGATTTCGAAGCTGACCCCTTCATGAAAGTTGTAAAGTTTGTCACTATAAGTAAATGTATATATTTTATTTTTTTTTACATTTTTACACTTCTACAATAATTATTATTAATTTTGTCCTCAAATAAAAAAACATTATTCATGAGGGTTTGGAGGATTTTAAAAATCTAAACGATACTGTAAGTGTAACCATTATCTACTTGTGGAAGAATAATGATGAATCACAAGTGTTTATATATTCTTTCACATTTTTCATACTTGTATGTATGTCTTCTTAGTTCTTGCATATACAGATACTATACTAGTTTATTTTAATTTTGGACAACAACATGTTAAGTAAAATTTATCCTAGTAATGATAATAAGGAACTCTTGTGACATCCCACATCACCTAGGGGAGTGATCCTTATATGTATACTCCCATCCCTACCAAG